CTTGAAATGAAATGTAAGAGTCTTAAGAATAAAGACTGTGTTTAACAGTTCATCAAACCCATCCTTCATCCAGATTGCAGGGTAAATTTATTACATAGGATATAAATTTTGAAACTGAACAGATCAGCCATTTAATAGATTGCAAGTATTACACCTGAGGACCAACATTTTTCTGAATATAATATGGGGATAATAATACATGTATTTGTAAATAAGTATTTAGTTAAATATTACCTTGTCTATGAATGCTAAAAAGCCTTCTGAAAGATCTCTAACTTTTTGCTTTTCTTATTATTTAAAAATTTATGATTAGTTGAAAACATCAATATTTAATCCCATTCCCCCATTTAAACATCTCAAATTCAACTTTGCTATAAATTCCCCTTTCATTTCTCTTCATAATCCAATTGTTCGTTATTTTCTATGAAATATACCTTTGAAAAATGTTTCAACACTGCCTGTTCACCTTTCCCATTGTCAGGGTGTGGTACCTTAAATTTACTTGAAATAATTTTCTATCCCAAATCTTCTTCATTCCCACCAAATGATTGTGTGTTGTTGTTGTTGTTGTCAGGTGCCATCGAGTCGGAACCAACTCATAGCGACCCCATGCATAGCAGAACGAAACAATGCTCGATCCTGGGCCAACCTCATCACCGCTGCCACCCCTGAGTCCATCAATGATGCCACCTGGCCGATCCATCTCGTTGGGGGTCTTCCTCTTTTTCTCTGATTGTGTGGGACTATGTAAATAGGGTATACAGGTCCTAACACCAGGATTGGTTAGTTTTGTCTTTCTGCTAGGTTTAGAAGGAGCCATCTCAAAAGCAGAAAAAGATGATCCCAGGACCATCAAGAAAGAAGAGCATGGGTGGAACGTAAGATCCCTACCTAGAAAAGTGGTGACAATAGAGGAAATGGCAGAGGCAGCAGTATGCAGAGAGAGCAGTTGTAGGCCTTTAGACTCATGGACCCAGTTAAACTGAGTCCTATGGGTATCTACAGACTGCCTAAAAAGCCTTTGTAACACTTGCCCAAGCAGAGCAGAGGCCAATGTTTCAGTTGAAGACAAGAGTAAGATGTACCTGACGGTGTTCCTGATTGGAAAATTGCTATATTGCGAATTGTTTCTAATGCTGAATTGTATATTGTTCACTCTCCTAATAAATCCCATAATTTTGAGAATTGTTATGAGTCTTGTGTTGCCATTGCAAAAGATTCTTGAAACCAGATGTAAAGCAGAGTGCTATGGAAGGGAGGATTGGTGTAAGAATAGGGAAAAGAAGATTGTATGGTGGAGGCATGTCTGACCTCCATTTCATAGGAACCTGCCTTGGGTTGGTTTTCCTTCCTGAAGCCAGAGGAAGTCAGACAAGGCTCCCACAGGGTTTTTGCACAGGGACTTCATTTCATCCAGTCTATTCATGCACATTCTTTTCATTAGATTATTGTATAAATATCCTGCTAGTCTCCCTGTGTATTTCTTTTACAATTATCCAATTTTGATACTCCACCACTCTTTTATCAAATAGTCATTCTGTGGTGAATGTGTCTTGCTGTGATGCTGGAAGCTATGCCACTGGTATTTTAAATACCAGTAGGGTCTTCCATTGGAGTCCTGGTATGGAGCTATGGGCTAATGTCTCAGACTGTAAAGTTGTTTGAACTGCAAGGTTGGTGGTTCAAGCTCACCAGCTGCTCCTTGGAAACCCTATACAGGGTCTCTAAGGGTCAGAATAAACTCAACAGCACTTAACAACAAAACAGGGTCTCTATGGGGTGTTTCTGAGCAAGTGGTCACCTCCATCCCCACCACTGGTGGGTTCTTCTGCCACGCATGCACACAGAAACTCTCAGTCCAAGAGCTAGTCCTGAATTGTTTTTTTAATAAGGAAAAGGTCAGAACAAGGGGTGTGGAGAGGGAAAGAGAGTTTTAAAAACAAAACAGGCTGAAAATTAAATTAACAACCAACAGTGGCATCTTGAAATTTATCATACAGCCTTGAAGGCAAGAAGCTGAGAAAGGACATTATAGTCATACTCATATTAGGCTACATTTTTTTTTTTTTCTTCTCTCCCTCCTCATTCCTTTCTGTGATTATAGACTACAGTATCCAATCTAGTTTTTCTGGTGTTGTGGAGTTTTTTGGGTTTTGGGTCGGGTTTTTTTCTTGTTTGTTTGCTGTTGCTGTTTTGCTGTTTTATGCTCCCCTTTTTACCTTTGGGGGACTCTTTCTCTCCCTATACTACCCAATAAGAGAAAACAACTGTTGCCACATAACCAAGCTACAATCACACTCTATAAAACACCAATATCCAGGAAAGAACCAATAGCAACTACCATACACCAGGAAGGCAGACAACACCTGTGAAAGTTACTCTGAGTTAAGCAATAAGAAGAGTGAAAAGGGAAACTCACATCATGATCACATCTACATGGAGGCAATCAGAAAGCATAAAAAAATACCAAAATGCACATTCAATTAAGTATTAAGGCCACAGATAAACACTAAACATGTCCAAGAAGCAAAAGCAGATGACCATATCAGCACATGTCCAAAAATAAGATAAAATGTGTGAGACAAATGACCTAGAGGTAGACCTGAACTACATTCTGGAAGGGTAGGCCTTGGAAATGCCTAAGAAGGAATTCAGAAAAAATGAGTATAAGATGTTTCAAAACACTTAAAAATGGAGTTGAGAAAATAAGGAAGAAGTCAGGAAAACACTACAGGAACAATCAAATAAGATAAATACAGCATTGGAAATAATTTAAAACCTACAGAAAGAGGTCTAAATAATCAATAATACTATACCAGAAATAGACAATACTATGAAAAGGCAAAGGAGTAGAATAGGAGAGCTGGAAGGCAGAAGTAGTGATCTGGAAGACAAAATCTCAATACCACTAAGATAGAAGAGCAAACAGAAGACAGGATAAAAAAAAAAAAATCTGAAGAAGGTCTAAGATTCATGTAGGACAACATGAAGAGGAATTATCGGCATTCCAAAACAGGAAGACTCACACAAATCCACAGAGGAAAAAGTTGAAGAACTGCTAGAAGAAAATATCCCAAATATCCTGAAAAGTGAAAAGATAAATATTCAAGAAACTCAATGAACCCCAGGAAGGATAGACCCCCCAAAAGAAAGTCACTGAGACTTATAATCAATCTCTCCAAAATCAAAGATAAGGAGAGAATCCTGAAAGCAGCTAGGGAAAAGAGAAGTGTTACATACAAAGGCAAGCAAGTCAGATTAAGCTCGGATCTCTCAGCAGAAACCATAAAGGCAATAAGGCAATGGGGAGACATATATAAAACCCTGAAAGAAAAAAGCTGTCAACCAAGAATCCTGTATCCAGCAAAGCTATCAATCAAATATGATGGTGTAATCAAAACATTCCAGGATATACAGAAGCTAAGGAATTTTGCCAAAGCCAACCCTGTGCTACAAAACATCCTAAAGGAAGTTCTGTGGACTGAGAACCAACAACAACAGACAACAACCAGAGATTGACATACATGGCAATGCCTCCCAGAACTAAATTGACAGAAGGAAGAGTCAAGAACAGAACAAAACTATAAGAACAAACTCAGAGAATCTGGGAGGTCAGTCTATGATCAAAACAATTACAATATGAAGGAAGATAAACACATAGGAAGAGAGATCCAGACGGTGAGAAGGTTAGGTAGATTACAGGATAAAATAGACTACACTAAATGGAGGGAAAAGTTAATGGACTATAAGGTAACCTCAAAGAAAATTAACACTTCACAACATACCAAGAAAATGAAAATCCAAGAAGAACATGTAAATATTAGAACTATGAGGAAACCGACAAGAAAGAACACAAAAAGCATGAAGTCAGCAAAGGAAGACACACAGAACAAAGAAAGCAGCAACACCACAAAAAAACAAACATAATGGCAGCATTTTTTTTTTAAATCCATACCTATCAATAATTACACTGAATGTAAATGGATTAAATGCACGAGTTAAGACACGGAGGGTGGCAGAATGGATAACAAAATAGGATCTTTCAGTATGCTGTCTGAAAGAGACACATATTACACACAGAGACAAAAACAGATTAGAAGTCAAGGATGGAAAAAAATATTCTAGGCTAATTGCAATAAAAATGAACAGGACTGGTAGTACTAATCTCTGATAAAATAAACTTTAAGGCAAAAACAAGCATAATAGATAAAGATGGACATTATCTTATGATAAAAGGGACAATTGAACAAGATGGCATAATCATATTATAATAAATATCTATGATCCCAATGAAAGAGCTCCAAAATATATAAAGCAAACTCTAATAGATTTGAAGAAAGAAATAGATGAATTTACAATAATAGTGGGTGATTTTAATACACAACTTTCAAAAATGGATAGAACAACCAAAAAAAAATTTAAAAACTTAACAAAGACACAGAAGAACTAAACAATACAATCAGCCAATGGGACCTCAGAGATTTGTACAGAGCATTCAACTCAACAACAGCATAATACACATTCTTTTCCAGTGCACATGGAGCATTCTCCAGAATACACCATGTCTTAGGCCACAAAATAAACCTCCATAAATTTACAAATATCACAATACTACAAAGCATCTTCTCAGACCACAATTCTATCAAATTAGAAATCAACAATATGAAGACCAAGGAAATAAAGTCAAATACATGGAAACTGAATAACACCCTGCTGAAAAGAGATTGTGTAGCAGAAGAAATTAAATGTGAACTCACAAAGTTCATAGAAACTAATGAGACCTAAAATACAATATATCAAAATCTTTGAGATACAGAGAAAGCAGTGCTGAGAGGCAATTTATTGCAATAAATGCACACATGCAAAAAGAAGAAAGAACTAAAAATAACACATTAACACAACATCTACAACAATTAGAAACAGACCAACAGAGGGAACCATTAGTCACCAAAAGAAAAGAAATAATAAAGATTAAAGCAAAAATAAATGAGATAGGCAGATTTGGATCCGGGTCAGTCAGGCGCGGCGATTGGGCAACAGACGATCTGAAATGATGCCACCGGGTCACCGGAACGCATCAGCTGCGAAGAGCATTAACGGAAACATCCATAGTAGTGTAGAAACTTTCACAATGAAATCTGAAGCCAAGGACAGAGAGAAGGAGAGTCTACAAACTGCTTTCAAGAAGTTAAGAGTGGATGCATCTGGGTCCATAGCATCTCTGGCTGTTGGAGAAGGCACAAGTGTTAGAACATCAGTCAGAACAACTACAGATGATACCAAGCTGAAAACTATATGTGCATCTAAAGACAGTTGGCATGGGTCTACAAGGAAGTCTTCATGGGGAGCAGCGAGAACCCAGCGTTGTCGACGTTCTAAGTCTCCTGTCCTTCATTCTCCAAAGTTTATACATTGTAGTATAATAGCTTCTTCTTCCAGCAACCAGCTAAAGCACAAAAGCCAGACTGATTCCCTTGATGGCAGCAGTGGGCTGGGAATTTCGACCCCTAAAGAGTTCAGTGCAGGAGAATGTGCTGCTTCTCCTCCTGATGCTAATCACACAGGGGCAGTCATTGAGCCTCTGAGAACTTCAGTTCCTGGGCTCCCATCAGAGAATACCAAGGAAGACTCCTTGGATGCCACCCACGTCTCCCAAGCAAGTGTCAAGGCCAATGATCTCTCTGACTTTCAGTCCGTTTCCAAGTTGAACCAGGGCAAGCCATGTGCGTGCCTGGGCCAGGAGTGCCCGTGTAAGAGATGGCATGGCATGGAGGTGTACTCCTTCTCAGGCCTGCAGAAGGTCCCGCCCACGGACCCAGAACAAAGACCCACGCTTGAGGACTACTCTCAGTTGCTCCACACCAGAACTCTGTCTGGCTCGCCCTGCTCCTGTTCTGAGCAACCTCAAGTCTATGTGGATGATGTGACCATTGAGGACCTGTCAGGCTACATGGAATATTACTTGTATAGTGCCAAAAAAATGTGCCACATGGCAGAAATGATGTACACCTGATATCTGGAAGCTAATCTTATGCTTTAAACCAATGAAGGGTTGTCAGATTTAGCTAATGGCAGACCTTGCAGTCACTTGGTGTGAGAAGACATCTCCTGCTCACTGTGCTTGCAATAAAAACATTTCTTGGCATCTCAGTTAACCTTCATTCTTTATATTTATTCTCTGTGTTCTTACATATCCACCAAGGGAAGCAGACCTTAAAAAACAGTCCTTCCTGGAAATGTTCTTGGGGGATGAAGACTTCTGAATCACTTGAGACTGGCAGTGGTGGGTATATGGTAAATGCCTTTGTCAAACTGCATTTTTTTTTTTTTTTTTTCAGATCTGTTTTAAGAGTTGGTGGCCAAGGAAAATCAACATGTGGTTTTGTAACTGAACTGAACATTGTCATGCTGTAGTTGCCAGCCCAGAATATTAGAAGTTATATGACTGATTTAAACCATCTCTGATTTAATGCAAGATTTATTGTCTTTAAAGGTTTCTTATGTTATTGTTAAGCCGGAGTTCGAAGGTTTCGATTTAATATGAATAAACTAGCTGGCCTGCCTGATAAAAAAAAATAATAATAATAATAAATGAGATAGAAAACAGAAAAAATATAGAAAGAATCAACAGGATGAGAAGCTGGCTCTTTGAAAGGATTAACAAAATTGACAAACCATCAGCAAACCTAACTAAAGCAAAGAGAGAGAAAAACAAATAACACACATTCTAAACTACATGGGCAATGTCACATGGAACAAAAGGAAATCAAAAGGATAATAACAGAATACTCTGAAAAGTTGTACTCAAAGAAATTTGAAAACTTAGAAGAGATGGGTACATTATTAGAAAAACACGACCTACCTAAATTTAGACACAGTGAAGTAGAAAACCTGAACAGACCCATAACAAATGAAGAACTTGATCAGGACATCAAAAGGCTCCCAACAAAAAAAAGTCCAGGCCCAGATGTCTTCACTGGTGAGTTCTACCAAACATTCAAGGAAGAGCTGCCACCAATTCTACTCAAATTATTCCAGAAGATATAGGAGGCTGGAAAACTTCTTAATACATTTTATGAAGCAAGCATAACCCTCATACCAGAACCAGGGAAGGATGTCACTAAGAAAGAAAATTATAGACCAATATCCTTCATGAACATAGATGCAAAAATTCTCAACAAAATCCTAGCCAACAGAATACAATAGCACATCAAAAGAACAATACATCATGATCAAGTGGGATTCATATCAGAGTTGCAGAGTGTTCTACATTAGAAAAATGATCAAAATAATCCACCAAAAAAAGAAAAAAGAAAAGAACCACAAGATCATATAGATTGATACAAAAAAGGCATTTGACAAAATCCAACATCCATTCCTGATAAACACCCTCAACAAAGTAGGAATTGAAAGGAAATTTCTCAACATAATTAAGAATGTATATACAAAACCAACAGCCAACATTATTATCAATGGAAAGAAACTTAAAGCCTTCCCTCCACAAATGGGAACCAGACAAGGATGCCCTTTATCAACACTCCTATTCAATATTGTGCTGGAAGGCTTAGCAAGAGCTGCAAGGAAAGTCAAGGAAATTAAAGGCAACCTAATTGGCAAAGAGGAAGTAAAACTTTCTCTATTTGCTGACAATATTATCCTATACATAGAAAATCCCAAAGACTCAGTAAAAAAGCTACTAGACCTCATTGGAAAATTCAGCAAAATGGCAGGATATAAGATCAACATACAAAAATAAGTTGGGGGAGAACAAACAACATGGTGGATCGAGCAGAAGTGTAGTGAGGAGCTCCGTCATCAACAACACAGAATACCAGACTAAGCAGCCTCAGGGAATGTTGCCAGATATCTGAACCACATGGAAGGTTTACAGTTAGAGAAATTTGGAGCAGAAGCAAGAAATTCATTGCTTTCTAATTCAAGAAGTGCAGCTGCCCCCGGAGCCACCATCTTGGGTGAGGCCAAGCGGAGGAAGAATCAGAGCAGCCATGGATGTCTGACAGACTGTGGAGATAAAGGTGTGGACATTTTTTTTTCTATCTGTTCATTGGTCTCTTGCTTTCTGTGCACCTCCATTCTGGTGACTAGAGGGGTGTCTGAGTAGTGGACACCCCATCCCCACTCCTGGAGGGTTCTACTATTCATGAGCACAGATCTCCTTGAAATTTTAAGTGACAGTTTCCACTTAAAACCAAACGGCAGTGCAAAATGGCCAAAACAAGGTCTGAACTGTTTATCACTAGGAAAAAGGCCTGAACAGGGATTGTGGAGCAGGACAGGCAGACAGAAAAGGGAATAGGCCAAAAATTAAATCCTGAGTTACGTCACAATGACAAACAGTGGCATCTTGAAATTTCTCAGGAAGAAGGGTGCAAAAGGAAGCCCATCACCTAATCACATCTACCTGGAGGCAATCAGAAAGCATACAAAATACCAAAATACACACCCATCTAAGTATTAAGGGCACTGAAAACTCCTGAAGATGCAAAATAAATAAATAAATAAAATAAACAAATGACCATATCAGCACATGACCAGAAACAAGATAAAGTGAGGCAAATGAGTTGGAAGTAGATCTACACTCCATACTGGAAGATGCGCAGGCTTTGGAAACGCCTGAGAAGGAATTCAGAAAAATGATTATAAAATGTATCAAAACACTTTACAATGGAGTTGAGAAAAATAAGTAAGAAGTCAGGAAAGTACTACAGGAAAAATTAAATAAGATAGAGCATTAGAAACAATTCAAAACCTACAGGAAGAGGTCCAAATGATTAGTAATAGAATATCAGAAATGGACAATACATTGAAAGGGCAAAGGAGAAGAGATAGAGACCAGAACTAGTGAGCTAGAACATAAATCTCTCAACACTGCTAAGATAGAAGAGCAAGCACAAAAAAAGACAAAAAAATCTGAAGAAGGCCTAAGATTCATGTTGGACAATATGAAGAGGAATATGTTAAGAATTATCAGCACTCTAAAACAGGAAGAATCACACAAGTCCACAGAAGAGATAGCTGAAGAGTTTCTGGAAGAAAAATCTCCCTAACATACTGAAAAGCAAAAATATAAGCATTCGAGACATATAATAATCAAGGTCTCCAAAATCAAAGATAAGGACAGAATCCCCCCAAAAAAACTAGGGAAAAGAGAAGTGTAACATACAAAGGCAAGAAAATCAGATTAAGCTCAGCTCTCTCAACAGAAACCATGCAGGCAAGAAGGCAATCGAGAGACATATATAAAACCTGAAAGAAAGAAAAAACTGCCAAGCAAGAATCTTCTACCCAGCAAAGCTGTCAATCAATTATGAAGGTGTAATCAAAACATTCCATGATATACAGAAGCTAAGGGATTTTGCCAAAGCCAACCCTGCTGTGAAAAACATCCTAAAGGAATTTTTGTGGACTGAGAACCAACAAGAACAGACAACAACCAGAGAATGACGTACATGGCAGCATCACCCTGAACTCAATTGACAAATGGAAGAGTCAAGAACAGAATAAAATTATAAGAACAGAAGATCTGGGAGGTCAGTCTATGATCAAAACAATTACAATGTGAAAGAAGGTAAACACAGAGGAACAGAGATCCAGGTGGTGGTAAGGTCAGGTAGATTACAGGATAAAATAGACTGTCTTAAAAGGAGGGAAGAGTCAATGGACTATAAGGTAACCACAACAGTGGGGTTGGGGTGGGGGGCTTAGTTCAAATTTTGGGGATGGCAATACAAGATGGGGGAGGAGGTGGAAGAACAATATAGATAGGGGAACACTGAGACAGGTTGCATAGCCTAAGTGGGACATAGGTAAATAGCGACGCATGCTCAACCTTGGAACAACAAGGCTCTGTGATACAAGAATCTAGGCATAGCTACACGAGAGGAAATAATACTAAAATGCTTGACTGTCTTATGAATATTGGTTCCCTTGCCTACTATTGTAAAATAGACACTTTAGTTGAACGGCAAGAAATGTTGGGAAACATGATTACAGAAACTTGTAAGCTCATCTTCAGTCTATAACTGATTGGAATACCTAAAAGGGGTTCTAGAACTTGTCCAGTGAAATAGGCCTCTTGAAAAGCCTTTGCAGAGTATAGGACCTTAGGTGGAATCCTGATTCGCATCCAGAACCTTATGAGATGGGACATTTCCACTAGCAAGGGCAAGCAGACCAGCCTGGAACAGCTAGAGAAAGAGAAGATACATCTTCAAAGAAAGACTATCAACAAACCTCCTCCCCCCAGCACCAAAAAAAAAAAAAAAAAATTGTCAGTATGACTGGTTACTACAAGAATAAGTAAGGTGTTCGACAGAAGTCATTAAGGCAAGCAATCAAGTTCCTTCAAGACAAACTCCCTTCTAGGACTGAAACTCAAAGGGAACACACAAACAGGCAAGTAAGTTTTCTGGTGACCACATTGGTCTACTGGTGAGTGGAAGAGTGGGAAAGGCAGCATTGAAGAAATGGGCTGAGTTCAACCACAGGTCACAGACTCCTGTTGACCTGGAGATGAGAGAGAGAAGAGGAAGGGCTAGTTGGTCCAAAGTGTGGTGAGACCTGGGGACATGGAAAAGGACATAGCCACAGATGGCTAGAGCTGAGAGTGAAGCATCCAGGTGATATGAAGTTAGGGGAGATGCACAAGAACACACAAACTTGCAGACAGTACCCATTTTACCTAGGTTTCATGGTTTGATAATCAGGACTCGACTAGAGGAAGATTACCAAAAAAAAAAAAAAAAAAAAATTTTTTTTTTGGATACAGGAAATAGGGGGTAAATTGCCACAACTTGATGAACCTGGCCTATACTCATGGCATTAGTAACTCTAAATACCAACAGAGAGGGAAGGAGTTTTTACATCAAGTATCAGTGCTATCCCCTCTGTACACAGGATAGATACAGATGGGCAACTTAGACATTGGCTACCTAAAATGAGGGGCGATAAAGACACAAAGTGACTAGCTTACAAAGTTTCAAGAGGGAGTTTAGTTTAAGAGTATGGGGAGGAAGAAAGAGTCCCCAGGGAATAGTTTTCATCTTGTCTAGATGTTGTTGTTGTTGTTAAGTACTGTGGAATTAGTTCCGACTCATAGTGACCCCTCACACGTTTTCCAAGGCTGTAAATCTTTACTGGAGCAGAGCACCTCATCTGTCTCCCATGGAACCACTTGTAGTTTTTAACTGCTCTCTTTGAGGTTGGCAGCCCGACTCATAACCAGTACGCTACTAGATGGGTCTGGTGAAAAGAGATATGGATAAGATTAATATGATTCAATAGTGAATAATTGTTATCATGACTCATTGCAACTGTCACAATTGTAAAGGTAGAAGTTTTGTAACAAAAACAGGGGAGTGGTTAATCTTACAGTCCAGAAACAGAGGACCCTAAAATCATCAAGAGAGAAAAGCACAAGCAGAATGGGAGACCTTATCCAGAGAAGCAGTAACACCAGAGATGGAGGCAGAGAAGGGATCATGGAGAGGGGGAGAGTCTGAGGACTTTAGAATCATGGGAAAAGAGGGACTAAGAGCTGGTA